GGCCCATAGATTTGTGGGTGTCAAGTGGCTAAATGGTCCCTAACCAGATCCTCCTCGGCCAAGAGAAAGGGCCGCCAGTAAAGACTGAAGCAAAGGCAGCATTCAGTATCTCTGCCTTCTCTGTATCCTCTATCACCAGGGCACCCACCTCATTCAGCAGCAGCCCCACATTTTCCCGTCTTCCTTTTACTGCTAAGGTACTAGAGAAGCGCTTCTTATTGTCCTTGACATCCCTTGCTAGATTTAATTCCCAGCAGACCTTAGCCTTCCTCGTTGCATCCCTGCATACTCTGACAGTGTTCCTGTATTCCTCCCAAGTGGCCTGTCCGTTTTTCCACATTTTGTAAACTTCTTTCTTCTGAGTTTTTCCCGAAGTTTTCCTGTTCATCCATGCAGGCCTCCTGCCTCCTTCGCTAGATTTCTTACTCTAAGGGATGCACTGATCTTCAGCTTGGAGGAAGTGTTGCTTGAAAATTAACCAGCTCTCTTGGGCCCCCTCACCCTCCAGAGCCCTAGCCCATGGAATTCCTCCAAGCAGGTCTTTGAGGAGGCCAAAGTGAATATATTCAGCGAGCATCAAAAATGCCACAAGATCAGCCTTCAGATTAGTGAGCTAAACATAGCCTGCTGAGGAGAGGGGTTTCCTTCTAACTGTGTCTGTTTCAGCTTTTTGCTGCTTGAAGTATCATCAGAGTGGATATAATTTTGTACTGAAATACTCATTCATATATATAAAGTGATCTCCTAAAGTTAATACATCTCTTCCTAGTGACTTGATGACTTAAGTTAATATCACAGTATACAGGTCATTCTACCACCAAGTTTTATGTGTGAATTGGCTGCAAAGTTCTTTCAGTCCCTACTTCTAGATGTGTTCCTCCTAGTCACAAAATCACAAAATACTAAAACTCCTCTGCCGTATTGGTGTCGTATAGATATTAAAGAAGTTGAGTGATGCTTTCATGTAGGAAACCATGCAGATTGAAATGCTCTCAGTCTACTGGTTACACTGGTAGGTTTTGTTGGAATAATGAAGCACACCTGTGTTAAGCATGTTTCGATAGTTTACCTTCAGAGATCTACTTAATTTTTCTAAATCTTATTTATGAGTGGAATTAGTGCTGGTGAAATGTGCTGGATTGATTGCTCCAGAGGTTGAAAGCTGCTTTCTTAACAGAAAGCATTTGATACAGTTAACAGTAGTTCATTTATTTGGCTGTACAGTTTAGCCATTGTACTCAACTGTGACCACTGAATTTACTAAACAAACAGAATATAAAGAAACAGAGTAGTATAATACAGTGTAAAACAGGAAATCCAAAAAGTCGTAGTGTCTTATAATCATCATGGCTACATGTGTGGGTGACTTCACTTTGTATGTGTATGTGGGATGATGGGAGAAGTAGTTTCAGTTAATACATTTCTTGTTGTTCTGCAGCGTAGAGTGGTCTGCTGTGATAGTGGATGAAGCACATAGAATCAAGAATCCAAAGGCTCAGATAACTCAAACCATGAAGTCATTAAAATGCAGCGTTCGCATAGGTCTTACTGGGACCATTCTTCAAAACAACATGAAAGAACTTTGGTGTGTTATGGACTGGTAAATAAAATAGCTTTTTTTATGATTTAAACACCTCTATGTGTTAACCGTGTGGTGGGACTGGGGTAGGGTTAGATCGTTTGTACCCATCTGTGTGGAAAAAAACCCCAGTAACAAACCACAACCATCTCCTAAAAAAACTCCATTGTTTTGTGAAAATGCAAGTGTTTTCCATAGATGTATTAGAGGTAAACTCCTTGCAGATATGTCTGCGGTATGTTTTTTGCAGTTACTTAATAAATTTGGAGCTTTTTTTGTCATCTGTCTTCTTTGGGGAATTTGGAAATCAGGTAAAATTATTTCCTTTTTTTCCCCTATGTTTACCTTTCTTTTTTAAGGATGTTATTTTGTTCTTCATTGTCTCTCCTCCACGCAGTAGACTGAGAATCATCGCACAGCTTCAGACAACGTTGTGCCTTTGCTCTGTCCAATATGTGCAGGTCATTCTGACTTACTTGAAAGTAATGACATTTTGCTGTTTTTCAAAATGCACAAGTGCACATATTTGCAAAGCAACAGTCTTGTTCAGGAAAACTTTTAATGGAGTGGGAGAGGTGGAAATCACCCTAGATATAAATCTAAACATAGAAGACATACTGGCGATGTTTTACAGATGAGGAACAAAGCAAACATGCCTTTTATGAAAGGAAATAAAAGCTGAATTGAAATATCAAGAAATAAATACTTTAAGAGCAAGCTTAGTGTTGCATCTGATGCTGATATCAATAGACTGTTCCAATATGTAGTGCTACCAATGATTGCCAAATTCTTTTTCCTATTTGGTTTCTTAAGATTTATATAGTAAATTGCAAAATCTGCATAACTTGTTTTTAATAAAACCAGTAAAAGTGGAAAACATGACTACTTAGCTTCCAGTTTAGGCCCTTGAACAGTAGCAGCCTTGTAGTTTAGAGGTTCTATATATTTGTGACTTCTGTTGCGCAGCTGAGCTTTGGTTTTTTTGGGGCCCTTTCCTAAGGGGAATGTCTTAACATTTCAGTATCACAGTAAGTAAAGGAAAAAATGGTATGTCTGGAAGTAGTATGTGTATCTATATACACAAATTTTATTAATTTTTCTAGTGATTGTTAATTTAAGATCTCTTGCTGTTAGCCAGAAACAATTTATGGTATGCTTTTAATCAATAGAAAAGAATAGGCTGTCTTGGAGTAAAGAAAATGCTGTTATTCCTTCATAAACTGCACCCCACACCCAGCTTTTTTTTTTTTTTTTTTTTTAATAGGGCTGTACCAGGACTTTTGGGTAGCAGACTACATTTCAAGAAGAAATTTTCTGATCCAGTGGAGCATGGCCAGAGACACACTGCAACTAAAAGAGAGCTAGCAACAGGTCGTAAGGCTATGGTGAAGCTAGCAAGAAAAATGTCTGGCTGGTTTCTGAGACGTACCAAAGCACTTATCAGTGATCAGTTGCCAAAAAAGGAGGACAGAGTAAGAGCACCTGCATATTTCAAATGCAATGCTAATGAATAAATCTCTTCTTTTTTTTGTTGTTGTTGTATTTTTTTGTCTTTCATCAAGCCATGGTTTTCTTTTGGACTTACGAATTTAAGAAGAATCCAGAGCCTTGGAAAAAATGCACATGCAGTAGTGTGCTTTGTTCATGTAATTGCTATGATTGCATGTTGAAATGGAGTTAATCAAGCATGAAAATGCTCAGCTAGACTTCTATCTAGTGATTTACATGTCTGTTTTATGTGCACTTTTGTATTTATCTGTGCAAACCCAATGTATTTATCTGTATGTAAATCTCTTGAAATTCCTTGTAGGACTTCTGAATTTGCAGCTTCACACTTTGTATATAGAACAGTATGCTTTTCATTTTTAACTCCCTTGTTTTTGATCACTAAATAAAAGAAAAACCCCAAACCGAAAGCTGATTGTTGATAGGTCTGTAATTCTGCTCATCTAATGGTATTGTAAATATTATATAGAGTGAGGATACTTATGACTATAGCTAAGTGTTATGAAAAATTCTTATTAGATGTATTTGTGCTTTCCTTCTAAGTAGACAAACACATCAGTTTGCAGCTGGTTTTGTTTTCAAAATTTTGTATTTATTCTTCATCCTCAGTGTATAATAATGTCATCTAAACTGTCTTCTGAAGGAAAGATTAACACAAACGTCAGTCAGTTGCTTTTCTAAATCTAGCAGGTTTTATTCTTTTCATTCTGTTGTTAATGTGAGTATATGTTCAAGTTACTGCTGTATTATTGTAGCTCAGCATGGTGCTGCTGCTGTGTGGGTGGCCTAGGTTAAGGAATGATCTTGGGATTTCTGTCTCCTGCTGCTTAAGACTAAAGATGTCATGGAGATGCCACCCATGGTTTCTAAGAAGAGGGATAAGGGTTTTGGCCATAACACTGTGTAGATCCTTGCCTTCTCATTGCTTATTCTATTTGTCCTGCCTGTGGTAGTGCCCTACAACAGCCAGTGCCTAAAAAGAGGAAAGAAAGGGTAAATTAAGCAACTGGCAAAGCAGAGGGGAATACTTAATTACAATTATGCATTTATATTCTCACTCTTCCCTTCTCCTACTATTCCTCCACAAAAGCCATACTGAAAGGTTTATAGAAAACAACAGGTTGTTGTAGCTTGATATTGATACTCTTTGTAGAATTTTGGGAGGGGATAAAATAACTATACATACATTTTGGCTACAATTTCATATTATCTTGGTGTTAATATCCAGATTTTTAAATTTGATGGTAGAATAATTTCATGTAACTATTTGAGTAAATATGTTCTTGTTTTCTACTTTATTTTCAGTGTTTTATGTTTTTTGATACAGTGCACTTTGTTTTTTCATTGGATGTGGCACATAATTGTGTTTTGGGGGTTCTTTCTCTTTGGCAGATGGTATACTGTTCCCTGACCGAATTCCAGAAAGCCGTGTACCAGGCTGTGCTAGAAACAGAGGACGTAAGCTTAGTATTGCGAGCAGGAGAGCCCTGTAGCTGCAGCAGCGGCCGTAAAAGGAAGAACTGTTGTTTCAAAGTAAGAACTTGCACTGTTTTGATTTTAGAACATAAGTCTTTCTGGTTTGAGGGTTAGCTAGGTTTTCGAGAGAAACTCTCTGCTAATGAATTGCTGATTGAAATGGCTGCATGGTTGTAGGCCATCTGTTTGGGAAATCCCAACTGGAAACATGGGTGGTTGCATCATGAGCGTGATTTGAGTTAGGCACTCAGGGATTACAGCAAAGCTGCTTTACATGCCCTGGGCAGGTGGTTGTTATTTATGCAGTAAATTCTGGATTTGTTGTATTAATAAGTACACCTGTGGAACAGTTGATGTTGGCAAGGATATTACGTTGGGATGTTCAGTGGGTGTTAGGCTTGCTGCTGCTATGTGCCTCAGGCAGTCGCAGAGGCTGCAAATTAGAGGCATCCTGTACACAGCAGGTTGTCTGGGCTTTACTTCTGTTATAACTGCAGTTGAATTGTGTCTTTCTGTGCCACTAAACATGCACTTTGCTTTGCTTCATTAAAGGGAGAACTTCTGACAGTAGCCATAGAGCACAAGCATAACTTTGTTCCCAAATAACAGCTCTGTAGATTTCTTCTACCATCTCTGAACTTCATTAACACTTGCGTAGTCTGGTTTTGTGTTTGTTTTGTCCGTATCACTCAGTAGGCTCAGATTAAGCATGTCTTTTTAACATTTAGAAGCATGTGTGTCCTGCTTGCTTCTTCCTCTTTTCTTTCTGGCCTCTTTTGATTCTTGGATAGTGTTTGGGTTTTTGTTTTTGTTTTTTTTTCCAGATGATGAAGCTTGTTTAGTCTTCTGCATCTTTCTTTAAAAACAATTCCTCTATCAGTGTGCTTAATATTCCATGGATACTAGCATTAGTTCTTTGCAGGCTTCTGTTTCTCATGATGTTTTGCAGGAAAAAGTAAAATGCTGTTGAACTTTAGGCAGACCTGCAAATACTTAAGTGCTCTTAAGGACTGTCTTATTCCAAAGTTAACCATGAAATTTAGTAACTTGAGAAGGGAAAAGAAAATGAATATTGATCAAATCAGCCAACCATAACCAGAAAAATAGCTGATACCGATGTTGCTGCTGCACTGTAGAATGTCTGAAGTTGTTTGAATTATGTTACTTGAGATGTTTATAAAACTTCATCGATTTCTGCTGTAGAAAAAAGTAAAGTTATCAGTAGTAGGGTAAGAAGTCATTCGAACAGCTCTGGTTTGGTTTACATTTAAATCAGTCGTGAAGCTACTGTCTCTTTGCCTACCAAGAAGTTCTTGGTTATCTTAGTAGTTTCTGTAGTTATCATGCTATCTGAAATGTTTAGCAAACTATAAACATAGCTGTGGGTTTTTTCTTTTTGATAAGTGTTTTCTATCAATAGTATCATAAAGCTGAGGAAAAAATAACCTGCTGCTTTTTTGTTAGAAATTCAGTATGAATCTCTTTGGGATCAATTTTAGTACTACTTAGAATTGCTCATGATTTAAACCTTGTAAGAATAGCACTTATTTTAGGCTATTTCTTATTTTCAGGAGTATTTGCATAAACATTCTTTCTCTTTTTTTTTTTTGGTAGGTAAATGCTCACGGTGAAACAATTAAGTCACTGCGCTTCAGTTACCTGACAATCCTACAGAAAGTTGCAAACCATGCTGCACTGCTGCAGACGGATTCCACTAGCAAGCAGCAGGTTAGCATCAGAACTATCTAATACTTGTGGGAAATGGGATGAAAACTCTTGAATTAAAAGAGCTGCTGGCCTCTTTTTGAAGTCATAACTAACTGAAATTAAGATATTTTGCAAAATTCCTTTTCTTCCAATAATTCATAATCTAGCTCTTATTTAATAGATAGAGGTGTTACACAACAGGATGCTCATTTAGTTGATGCACGCCTGAGAATAAGGGCTATAGAAACATTGGAGAGCTTTAGGGGGAAAAGTAATTTTTAATGATTTCTAGTAATGCCATTTCTGATCCATTTATGACAAGTGCCTAGTAAGAGGAATGTCTCTGTGCAAATACATAAATAATAAGCAGTTAGAATGTGGGGTTTTTTTCCTCTAATATCTTACGTTCAGAGCTGAGCTTTAAATAATGGTAAACATGTTTTAGTAGAAAGTGCTCGATGAGAAAACAATATCAGTTTGTCTTGTTACTGTGGGAAGTAACCTACAAGACCCACAAATGGCAGGGTTTTTAAAAATACTTGTATGTCATCCTTAAGATCCAAAAATGAGCAAAGATATTTAGGGATCTTAGTGCTTCCTCTCAGAAGCCACAAGGACTTAAAAATGATAAAATCCTAGCTAATTTTGGCAAATGTGTTCCATTAAAGCAGTTTTACTTTTTAGGAAATGTTAGTGTCCAAGACCTTAATGCAGTAAATACCAAAATATTTTCAGTGTTTTGATTTTTTTTATATTGTGTATGTAGTTTTTCTTGTAATAACATTTCAGAGTTTAAGTACCTGCTGAAGTAACACTATATGAGTATTTTGAGACTTCCTATGTTTTATGGCATATACAATTATTAACCTCCCAAAACTTACTAAAGAAACTGATATTTTGTAGTATTTATTACCTTTAGGTTTAAAGTCCATCATGTATGCTGGTTCTTAGATGATAGATTATCTTTTCTGCTCTTCTGGAAAAGTAGACTAGAAGTGTGTGGTCACATTCAAGTTCAGAGCGACCCAGATTCTAGCAGTGGAGCTTCAGTGTGGCTTTTGAACAGTTTAAATGCGTTTCCCATATTAGTTTTTGTCATATCAATGGGACAATATGTAATTCCCATATTGGCTCGTCAAGCTAGAGGGTTAGGAGAAATGCTGATGTCCAGGTGTTGGGTAGTGCGAACCTCAAGCTAACAGAGTTACTTAGGCTGACAACTCTGTCTGGTCCCGTTGCAGTTGCTGCCCAGGAGAGGAAATTTTGGGCACCTCTTACTCTAGTAACTGGCATCCATGGTTTCAGATTAGGATTCTCTTTCATTTTTAAATGAAGCAAATGAAAACACATGGGAGATGTTTTATTCAGTACTTCTGTAGTGAACTGAATAAAAACATATAACTCGCTCTGCTTGAGTTACTTAAGTAGTTACTTCTTTCAACCTGTTTAACTCCTTGTATGGTTTACTGGTATCCCAATATAGCTCTAATTTTTAATGCCTATACAAACTTTCTACTTTTCTTCCAGGAAGCACATATCAAACGGGTGTGCAGCCAGGTGTTTTCCAGTTTTCCAGATTTTGTGCAGTTAAGCAAAGATGCAGCCTTTGAAACAATTTCAGATCCAAAGTACAGTGGAAAAATGAAGGTAAACCTGTTCTTTAGAGGAGAAATAAGTATTAGTATTAGTAATAGATCTGCAGCTGTAGTATATGGATATAAGAAAATGTAAACCTGATAGTTACAGTTTTTTAATCATTCTGTTTGTGGTGGTCATACCACAGCAGAGATCTCCTGTCTTGGATCAGAATGCCTCTGGGCAAGGACTGGGAAAAAAAATCTGTGATACTAAGATGTTAGCTTCATTTATGTAATGATGGTCATGGAAACAAACCTTGCAGTCAAGATGGTGGTGTCATGGTATTATGACAGGTAGTTCCATGAAACCATCGACTCAGTTGCTATCAAAAATATTTGGAGAAGGGAAAGAGAGGAACACAAAATCCTTCTGGACTTAATGATTTGTGCACAGCTTCGGTACTGTGGCTAGTTCCAGTCCCTCCTATCAAAAAGCGTGTGTTAGTCCTTGAAAAGGTTCAGAGGAAGGCCACAAAGGTGATCAGTGCTGTGGGATGGAAGCAACCAACTAGGCTGGCACTCTCCAGCCTGGAAAAAGAATCTTAGGATAAATGAGAAAGGAACAATTAAGAGTAGCATGGAACTGATGAAGGCGTGTGCTTACTGAGTGCTTACTGTCTTTTCTAACCCTTTGGACATCAAATGAAACCAATGGGGGCCAGGCTAAAGATGAACAAAATAGATATGTTAAGCGTAAACCTGTATAACTCCGTACCTCAAAAACGTTCTCAGAGGGAAACAGGTTGGATAACTGAAAAAGATGTTTAATGTAGCTAGTTAAAAAGAAAACTGTATTAGGTTTAAGAGTGTTCTGGAGTGGAGAGTAGTGAGAGGGTGAGAAACTACGGAGAGTGGAGTATACTATATTTTTTCCTCTCTGTATAAACCTGGATGTTCACAGTTGCTGACTCGGATTTGGGAGGAGGCAGCAGCTGGGCTACATTTTTTGTAACAGTAATGGTTGTTACCACTTTATTGATTTGTTATTACGCAAGCAACATCTTTATTTTCTGTTATTACCTACGTATGAGAGACCTATTACCTTTGTTATATACACTTTGTTATCTCATGAAAGTCAACTTTATTGTTAAATTAGCTACCAGCATATATTTAATACATACAGTGGTGCTTATGAAGCTCTTCTTTTATTGATTTCTCTAGAAATTTTTCTCTTGGAGCTGTTGCATACTTCACTCCAGCACTGCCTTATGACATTTTCATTATGTGTTTTTTGACACAAGAGTAAACAACATAGGCAAGCAAAAATGCCTGAGTTAAGGCAGAGGTTCCAACATTATCTGCCTTTAAAGTCTGCAGCTTACAGAGCTGCCTGCTGGGAGGAATCTGTTCCAAACTGTGGCCATAAGACTGAGTTGCTTCTGGGACAGCATAAACTGCTGTGTCTTCTAAGAGATATAGCTGGCTGTGGCTTTGTGGTTTGGGTTGTAACCTTGGCTGGTAGCAGTAGGGCTCTTCTCATGCTTGTGTGCAGTGGCCATGGGTAGTAAGGAAGAATGTTCTGCTATATTGCAGTCCTGGAGTAAGAGCATGACTGAGGTGGCAAGAGAGCAGAGAGTGATCTTTTTAAGTATACTGAGCTTATGCTGCTGGGTGTGTCAGGTGGGTTGGATGTTTACTTCTGACATTGAGTGCTCCATATGATTAGAAAAATTAATCTCTGAGCTACCGGTAGATAGGCCAGTTTACATTTCTGGATAAATTGCTCAAACATATGTAGAATCATAGAATACCTTGAGTTGGAAAGGGACCATTAAAAGTCATCTAGTCCAACCCCCAAGTCGAGTGAGACGAGAAATACATGGTTAAAAATAATGAGTTACTAACATGGTAACTGCTCCTGTTATGTGGTTTGTTTGGTTTTGTTATTGTCAGTGAATTATTTAATGCTCATCTTCATTCTATCTCACTAGAGACTTTCCTGATTGTGCTTTTTTATTTAAATTTTGATCTTTCATCTTGCTGTCACTCTGTACTGATCAATATCCCTGTATTTCAAGGTATTTTTTTAATATAGATTGCAGATAATTGCAAAAAAGAACCCCCAAACATAAACAAGACAAAAACCCCCTCAACCCTCCAAAAAACCAAAACCCAAATAAGCATATATTCTTGAGAAGAGCCTTGGTATGGATAATTTCCATTAAAAAAAAAAAAAAAAAAAAAAGCAGTTTATGTCATGGGAAACTGTATTTTAAAATCCAACCTTGTGTTTTTCAAGTAATAATTTATATTGAAAAATACTTCTCCAGTATATTTGGCAGATGAGAGATAAATGCAATATAAATTTCTGTAGAAAAGTAAGAAAGGAAATTAAAAAATGTTATAATTCTTTCACAGAACATTTTCTTACTCTGACCTTTTAAAAAAGTCAGATCAGACACTACACTGCAGTAGTATTAGGCAAAGATACCAAGCAATAGGGACCTTTCTTTCCTTCAATGTAAGAAGCTATGAACTGGTTTTATTATGAGGGGTTCTGCCTGTTTGGTTTGGTTTTTACTTTATGAAATATAGAATAGAAGCATTTTCAAATGCTGCATTTCTGACAGTCCAGTAGACTTGAAGAATATTTTTCCACTGTTAATGACCTCTGGTTTTGTATATATGGTGCTTTATTTTAGAAAACTAATGTCTATTTCAATCCATTGCAAACTGCATAGAATTTATCTTAAGAATTAATGAAAGAATTGCTTACTTTGAGGGAAATTGGTCTGCCATCTCTTTTAAGGGAAACTTGAACTTTGTGACAGTTCATGAAATGTATCTTAGTATAAACAGAATATTCTGATTTGTGTGGTGTTACCTCTGTTCCTGGAAGGAGAGTTTTATGTAATGGGCCAAGTAGCTATCATTGGAAAATAAGGTGGTTTTGGAGTCCATTAAATTTGACTTCCGAATAATTATGATGCCAAAAATTGTTTCATGTGTATCTGGTATTGTAGTGGCTTTCTTTTTTTCCTTCCCCCGCTGCCCCTGCCTCCTGCTGCTGATTGCATTGGAGGTTTGTCTTGTGAGAAAAGATTGCCTAACCCTTTTGTTTTCTATCCTGAATTTTAAAACTGAAGCTGTTTGGGCTGATTTGGGATTTTATGTTCTGAAAGCAAAGTCATTCAGAAGCTGGTCCATTTTGAAGGTCCTCTTACTGTCAGAAAGTAGTCAGAGGAGAGACGTCAGATACTAGAACTTGAAAACTACTTTGTATGTTTTAACATGTTTTGGAAATAAATGAGACAAATTATAGTAAAATGTTTTTATTAGCCTTGCCCCACTGTAATACTTCACATTTTCTGTTCTATAAATAAATTCCTAGATGCTAATTGAATTAGTTTTGTAACTTTCATCTGGTAGTATAGACTGGATAGATATTTAGTCGTTTAAATTAAAATTTAGTACAAACTACCTGGAAATTTTGGCACAGGTGGTTATTCTTTTGCAGATGAGCATATTTGCAGGTTAAAAGTTTGTGACATTTATTTACATTTATTAGGGGCAGGGGAAAGGCTGGGATTTGACAATGAAGTTCATTAGCGAAGCAGTTGTAACTGTTTTGAAGGGTTGAAAAGGTTAACCTATCTGCTAAAATACCTTCTGTTCTCTCACCAGGCAGAGATAAAACACATAGGCAAACATACCTTTTTGTAGCGTGGAATATTCCTATCACCAACAACAGAGATAGAATTGCTTGAAGGGAAGTGTGAGAGTGGCAAACTGGTGTTTGTGTCCTACCTTGTGTTGTGACTGCAGTCATGTCTACCTGTTTTGCAGGCTGTAGCATTTACAGTGTGCTACCCTAGGTTTGCTGTTCTGAGTTTTAAGATTATAACAAGAGTTTGGAAAAAGCAGTCCCTATAATCCAAATACACTTATAAGCATTGATGATATACCTATGACTCTCATACATCCTCATTATGGTGGGAGGTGGGTAAGAACACAGTGACGTGATCTGAACTTCAGCTGTTTTTGTGGAATTATCCCTTCAATGTCAATCACACTGCAGAAAATACAGTTTTCTGAAGACTTTGCGTATACTTTCTGTTGCAAGGTGAATTTCCTCCCTAGATTTTTAACTTGAAATAGATAAATATGTGAGAATTGAAGGGCAAGGAGTGTGCTGCCTTGTTTGGAAACCACCCTTTTTCCATCAAGAAGTAAGAAAGTGGGGACCTGCAAAGTGTAAGGGCAAGTGATTCCATTGGTATTTAAACATAAAGATCAGAGATTGTTCATACATAAGTGTCAAGGACTGCTTGGAAAAGAAGAAAAGTGAGAGTAATTTTTAAAACCTGCAGTAATTCTTATTACTCTTTTGTCTGATTGTTTCTACAGTTTTGTTAAAATTCTGACTCAGAGAGACTCTGTATGCTTTCTAAGTGAAAAAGGCTATTAAATGTCTGGGCACTTGAAATAACTTTAAAAAAAAAAAACAAAAAACCAAAAAAACAAAAACAAATAACTTATACATATGTTCCACAGACATCCGTTTGTGGAGTTTTGGAATACTGTTCTTAGTTAATACAGATCTCTTAGGAGCAACTGCATTGGATTGATTTGTTTATTTTGCCTGGCATATTATCATTATTTCAGTAGGAAAATGGAAACCTATTGGAGCACCTTGCAAATAATAGTAACTCCCACTATTAAACATAACCTTAACTGAGGTGGGTGTGCCTTTGAAGGCTTAAAAACACTCTTGACTGGTTTGGACACCTGTATACAAAAAAGGTATCCTCAGACGTGAGGGGTAAAATTTGGTGAACTCACAGGGTGTAGGAATTAGGGAGATATGCATTTAAATCCATATGGCCTCCTAAAAAGAGCATGTTACTTTTGCTTGAGTATGATTCAGTATTTCTTTTTCAGACTAATAACATTCAGGATAATACTCTGGTGTGCAAGCATAGAATTTAATTCTGTTTGGTGCAAAACCATTTGTTACTTTTCCCTGTTCGTCAGAGCTATTCTTTACTCTAGAATACCTAAAATCCCAGTGGGCATGACAGTGATCCATTTTATTTAAACAGACTGGGTAGATTTGTTTGTGTGTTCTCCTATAGGAAATTAATTATTTGACCTATACTTTAGTAATAATGACAATAATACAGTAGCCAATTTCCTTCTACTTTAAAAGCATGTCACTGTTTCTGTTCTGTTTCTTAATGTGGCTAAATAAAATGCAAATGTCAGTCATTTAGCTCTTGTTAAATTACCTGATGTGGATTTTTTCTCAAGAAAATAATTCCTGGTTTACATGTTGTTGTACAATGGCACCAGGCAAAAACGACCTTGTTTGTTCCTTGTTTTCAATTTTAACTAACTAGCTTATAAGTGATGTAGAGTTACTATTTTATCTTCTAGATATTATCCAGAGCTGTAAATTTAATGTAAACATTCTTCATTATTTGGTTGTCAAAGATTTACTAGGCTTTTAGTGAAATCAGTGTTGATTAACAGTTTGTGTATTTATCACTGAATAAATACAATTTTTAAATACTTATTGCCCAGTAGGAGAAAGCTACAGACATGGTACAGAAAATTCCTCTTTCCCCTTTGTGTATTGCTTCTGCGCAGTACTCTGGAGCTGCCATTGCCAGATGTGGACATGCTTCTTTTGAAAATAACAGTATCACTATTATACACAAGGCTCTGGATTATTTGCTTCCCCACCAGAAGAACATTGTGTGTGGGCGGATTATTGGCATTTCAAGGTCTGTGCAGAGTCTGGGAAGCTGGATCCTACTGTAAACAGAGAAACAGATGAGAGTGGGAGCGGGGAGGGGCATACATCTCACTGATTATTTTAAGATGACAAGTTCCAAGAAGTTCTGAATGCCGATGCAGTACAGAAAACTTAAACAGACCTTCCTGTTTTCAAGGGAGTTGTGTGCATTTGCTAAATGCAAAAATTCACAAGCTGAGCTAGCATATGAGATAAGTACCATTTTGTTGCAGTCTGTGCACTGACATGAATAGCTTCTGAGTTTACCTGTTAGTAGTATGATTGCCTTTTTATAGCAGGATTTCCATGCAGATCACTGAAAAATGTTCAACTTGTCCATTACCTTTCGCACATTTATTATGTTAGTAGTGTTTTTTGTTATGCCTCTGTTTGGGCTTGCAAGAAATTAATTACAATGTAGCCCGTTTAAAGGCTGAAAACACAAGCAAGTGTGTGTGAAATGACGTATAAGTAAAACCTCTTCATTTTTGTTCTGTGGTTCATTTACAGGTCCTTCAGCAGCTTTTAAATCATTTCAGAAAAAACAAGGATAAAGTTCTTCTTTTCTCCTTTTCCACAAAGGTGAGCTCCATATATTTTTTTTTTTTATCAATTAACTATGGCAGCAGGTTCTGAAGTGTAAAGTGCTGAGGTGACAGCTGTCAACCACATTTCCTTTCTCTCTGCACTATGGGAAATAATAAGGACAGCGTGCAGTGCTCCAGAAGCATGTTGAAACCTTAAGTTATCTCATGATAAAAATGGTGATGGCAAAACAAATGTAACACACTGCTGCCTTCTTTAGAGCTTTTTAAAATTGTATTACTTCAAGTGTAGATAGTTTATACTGAGTTCAGCTGTCATGTCTTGAGTTAGAGCAGTGTCATGGCAAAATATGACTTGAAGTATCATACAACCTTTGTGTTAGCACTGGAAGTAGTTAAATTTCCTTTGTTTTACTGGCTTTTGATCATCACCAGTGATAAAACTTCAACCTTGAGATTTATTACACCAGTTGGTTTGAACTGAAAACAATGTTTAATTGGAGCAAGAGGTGTATGCACTTTTAAGGGAGTTGGTCCTTGATTTTCTTGCTAGGGAAAGTCATGTTCCTGGAAATGGTGCAAACTGTAATATGGTTTTCTTTACTCAAATGTTCATAAGGATTAAAAAATAATGGTGTGAATGAGAGTTCGGTGTCTTAAATATTCAATAATTTTGTGTCTTTAATGCAGACTGCAAGCTTAATATTTAGATGTTGTAGTAAAATGCTCATATATCGTAGGCTGTGCTTCACGGTGTTCAAGACCAGAGTGACTGCTGGTTACTGCAGTCTCTTTCACTCTGTCCCTTTGAACTCTGTCTGTGCATACCAGCCTGTTTCTCTGTGCTGACTCTAGTGCTTATTTACCATACTTCAAGTTATGGAACTTGTTAACAAGTAGTAGGAAACAGTTTAAATTGCCTGTCTGCTTATTGGATTGAACTGACTCAGCATCACTTAGAGGTGGGACGGGCAGCCAGGGTTAGAGGACCAAGTGAGACCACAGCAGACAAACATTCATCACCTTGAATGCTGTAGAATCGCAGCTAAAGAGTGTTGCGGATGTTCATATCAAAATGAGGGAGATTTACTCTTATTTTCAGTGCTTGGGCTATTGACATATATATTTGAGAAACATTGCCTCTGTGATTATGTTTAATTAAAATGTAATAGTAAGGACTTAAACTTTTTATTATTTTTCCACCCAGTTGCTAGATGTGCTGGAACAATACTGTATGGCATCTGGGCTAGATTACCGAAGACTTGATGGAAATACAAAATCAGAAGATAGGATCAGAATTGTAAGAGAGTTCAACAGCATTCAAGAAATTAACATATGTCTTGTATCTACAATGTAAGAAAATTTAACTTGTAATCTGTTTCACTCTGCCTTTCTAGTGTTTAGTAAGTAGGTTACTCTGCATTTTACTTGACGTACTTGTGAAGGATTACTTTTTTGAGAAAGTGAGTTGTTCTGTTGTCTGGTTGTAAACACAGAGTCACTGCTGTGAACTCAGGGTTTTAAAAATATCTGAAGGCTTCCTCCCTTCCTCTCTCCTCTACTTTATGAAGATTGCTAAGATCTGAAACAAGCTGGTCTTCTGAATGGTAGTTTTAAATTTCCACTTGCCGTAGGAGTGAGGAAACATGAAATGGTATATTGGACTGAAAAATTATCTCTTAGTTTGTTACTGTAATTTATTAACCACATGAATTAGCATATGTCTATTTAAAATACTTCAAACAATCCTTGATTGTCTTTTAAAAATGTATTTGCGTATCAGATCTGCTTATCAATTTATGGTGGATAATGAATTCTTCTGAAATAGAGCAATTTGTTCAACTAAAATTAATGAAAAGATGATGATTCTGGTTACATCTATGTTTCATCTTGGATGAAGTTTGTTGCCAGGCAAGGGCAGAAAGTGAGCAAAGTGAAATTTTAGTCTCCCTGCCCAGAGGAAGACTCAGCGAAATAAGGTGAAACATGCAAATGTGCTACTCTTGCTATACGGTCACTTTGGTCCTTCTTTACTGCAGATGTGTGGAGTTAGATAGGAGGATCCACACTGCCTCTGTTTAATTAGAAAGTAGACCTAATGTTAAAGACTTTACAAGTGCATGTCAGAACTGTCTTCTGATGCTATCCGATTCTGTGTGGGAAGGGTTATGAAGAGACTTGTTGGTCATGCACATTTGTTTTTAATCTCTGTCAACTGTGGAACCTGGCCGTCAGCTTCCTTAAGACCTTCATGCGTCCCTGTTCTTTGTCCCTGGAAACAGCAGGGAATACATCTGTAGCCTTAGGAAAGGCTCTCGAGTTCGTGCTTCTATCAGTCTAGTTTAGTTGTGTAATTACAACCTTTTTAATTATCTTCCATTAATTTACATGGAAACAAAAATGAAGGTCAGGTAAACAGGGATGGAGTTTCTCCTTTCTGTTATTAGAGCTTGTGAATACAGAGATTGGTGAGCTTTCCATGCCTGCGGGTGGTGCTTGAGATGAGTCTTGATTCCATTGTTCTTAGTGTTTCTCATTTTGTTGAGTAAATGGAAGGAACAAACGATGGAATTGCAATCAGTGTAATCAGTGATTACTAAGAAAGCTGGAACGTGCAATTCTTTGTGTAGTTTGTCGCAGATAACAAGTTAGAGTTTTGCTTGCTTGATATGTGGTAATGGAAGCAGCTTTAGTTTTGTAATCTTTTGGAAATCAGAAAGTGATTTATCCCAATTCTACTCTACAAGAGATTAATCCTTCCTCTTACTCAGATTTCAGGCATTAGGACTTCACAGTATATTTCTCAGCACATAGTAAGTTGACAGAATTGGGTCACACTCTTCTGTCTTTACTTTCTTGCAAAGTTTTTGGCCGACTGTTCTGTGTAGTCAACTTGTACATGTTCTGAAAGTTGCATTGCTTGAAGAGCCACATGTTGATTTTTGCTAAAAATGCTTGCACAGTCTTTTGGCTGCAAAAATGCATTCTGCAAAGGATGGGTTGCCCAGGTAGTGATCTTGAGTCTGACATTATATTCCACTGGCACAGTTAAAATACAACTTTAAACGGGAACCTTCAATCTATAGATTAGTGACTTACAGTGCAGACAGTGGTGATAACTTCACTGTTAAATTTTGGTTGTGCTTAGAACACTAAAAATTTCTGGAGTTGCTATAACTCCATAGGATAATGTCAGAGGTTGCAACTGCATTGATGCTGCTTAGCATGAAGAAGGAGAACTGCTTATGTACAGTACTGAAGTCTGTGCAGCCCTGTTCCAGGGCAGAGTTCTGGAAGAAATAAGAGCAGCGAGTATTCCCACCTTTAAAGCTAATTCACTTATCTCTGGGTTTTCCACACTAATCTTTGTCTAGATTAATTCCTTCAGAATTATTATAAATGAAAATCTATTTCTGCTTCTCAGTTTCCTTTATTATGTAAAGAGAAGTGCTTAGATGATGAAGAGATGATGGTTACAAAAATTTGTAGACAGTTTTTATCATGAAAGGTTACAATATGCACTTCCATTCTACCTGCAGTGTTCTTAATTCTTGTCCATTACTGGACTGCTGTCCATTACTTTGATTTTTTTTTTTTGTCATTACTGTGATTTTTTCGGGGCTACATTTAACTTCAATCCTTCACAAGTATGTTGTAAATAATTTTTAAAATGCATGTCATCACATTCAAATAACTGTCAGACGCAAGATCATACTGAAGCAGAGAACTTATTTGTTAAAAAACTTACCTCAGTAAATAGAATTACGTAGTCACAGCTTTCATGAAAGCTTTTGTAATGTGATACTGTTTTGTAACTTCTGAATGTTATGGTATTAAGTTAGCAGTGATACTATATAAAAGAAAGACATTTATTTAACACAGTGTGAAGTTTTAAGTAAGATTATCTTTTGAAAGCTCTTGTTTGTAACAGAACTGTTACAAAACATTTCATACAGGACTCTTCATTTGAGCTTATTATAGTAATTTGCATAGACCATCTTGCAAGAATGACTTGAACCTCTGGTTAAAATGGCATTTAAATGGAAGGTATTCTTTACAATGCACAAACTAACTTCTCCATTCATTCTGTCCATGAAGGACATAGGAGCCAGTCTTTTTCTGCTTCGGAGTATCTGAATTTTTGTGTCATACTTAAAAATATTGAAAGGTAAAATCTTTATAAAGCTAAGTATCCTGTTTGTTTAATTTTCATAGTCAGTCTGTTTTACTGACACTAAGACTTTGCACTCAGGTGTAATTCATATTTCAGTTCCAAATACTGCTTTTTTTTTTTTTTTTTTTTTTTTTGAGAAAGCATTTGAAAAAACAAGTTGACTTACATTTCAGTCTGACTGCAGGGTGGATTTGGTAAGATGAGAGGCTGAATTCTGTCCTGGCTAAAAAGAAATATACCAAAATTATTTATTATTATTATACCAAATATTCCAAAATACAGTGAAGTATTCTGAAAAGTACAAAGATTTTTATTCAGCATTTCAAACTGAGTGCACTCATCTTCCAGAAACCTTCGTTAGTATTGGCAGGTTCCCACATCCCCTCCCTTTCCAGATTTAACTAACCCAACACCACACCACACCTGGAAGGAAGAGGCCACAACTGTATTTACATTAACAGGGATTCCATGAAGACCAAAAGGCAGTGGGGCTCCATAAGCTTTTGGTTTCTGTCTCCATTTATTCACATCCCTTGAAACTTTACCTTTCCTACTGCTTTAAACAAGCAGAATAGAAAGTAATCTATTAAAACCAGATGCTTGGTAAATTGAATGGGATTGACTTTTTCAATTTTTTGGTACCTCATTCAGAGAAAAACCACACTTGGAATTACTTCTGTCTATGTCAATGTAAAAAATTGTTTTAATAATTAAATTAATAATAGTTGGCATGTACTTGTATAGGAACTTGTCTGGTTTTGTAGGACTGTTGTTTGAGCCAGTTGAAAAGAATTTTCAGTGTTTGCTTGTTTTGCAGCTGGATGAGAAGTGGTATTTTCCTCACTTTTGTTCCTATCAAATCGTCCAGCTAGGCACATGACAAACTCCAAGTAACTGAGCACTTTTGTTAGATTTAGCAAGGGCATTAATTAGCTACCTCAGGTTAAGCATATGCTCAGATTCTTTGTTGGCCTGAAGACTTTACCTGAAATCACAGTACAGCTGTTGAATGTTTAAGACTGGGTAGCTGGTACCCCTGGGACTCCTTATCCCAACAGTAGACGATTTTCTTACAGTGACTTTTTTCCTTGTAATGACAGGTAGGAATGTTGCTGATATGCAGCTGTGTGGCCAACTGTGTTTTTAACAATTGACTTACATAATGTGTATATATATATATATATATATACACCTGTAACAGTTGTTAATTCTTGCAGATATGACTTACCCTAGACTGTGACCATTTTACTGGAAGCTGCATAGCATTATTGTTAAAACTGTGTGCTGGGATTAGAAGAAGTAAAACTTAAGGCAGACTTTTAACTTAATCTCCAGTTTTCCTGCTTCTTTAGTGGTAACTGGCATAAAAGTTGTTATGAATGTCAGTGTAGTAATTGAGGGAGTTGGCCTGTATAGGGCTCAGTGAGTATGAAGTAGCAATCAGGACTTTCACTATAGTAAGGTGATAGTAGTTGGTTATGACACAGCTAGTCATACAGTTTGTAATCTTCTTGCTACTTAGGTGAGTTGACCACATTCTGCAGCAGTGGTTATTTATTTCGTGCCTATTAAAAGGACAGTATCACAAAGCTGTACCCTACTATTTTCAGTATCTCTATTGTGCTCTTTATGTTGTGGAAGGGTATGCTAATATGGACTTATACACTGAAATAAAAAAAAAAAAAAGGTCTGTTTTTCTTACTGTCAAATATTTCTGCTTTTTCATTTTTATTTTTTTAGGGCTGGTGGACTGGGTCTTAATTTTGTTGGTGCCAATGTTGTTATACTGTTTGATCCTACATGGAACCCAGCAAATGATCTTCAAGCTGTTGACAGGTACACTCTGAAAATACAGAACTTGATCCATGTGGTACTCTTCTTTTGCTTTGATCCTGTAATTTAATTATTCAACTAAACTTTCCTGAGGGAAGAAGTTTTCTACATCGTGTGACTTTCTACAAGGTAGTAAGAAATGTCTAGCTAAATTATTTTTTAGCTTTAATGTTCTTGGTTTTAACCCCAAATTTTACTCCTTATTTTCCATATTATTTTTGTGGCAGTGTGATGATGGGCTTATTTAAAATAAATAAATAAATAAGGCGCCACGGTTACTGTAACTTTTCGTGATCTATAGAATAAGTACATGTGTGTAGCTGGATGGCATTTTTCCTGTGTTTGTCAGGACAGAGTAGGTTATAACTGACCCTAGTTCAAGTGATGTTTTTAATTCCAGAATCCTTAAAGAAAAACATTTGTGTTCTTTTCTGCTTCACCCTTGTGGAGATTAGTGTCCTTTCAGCACTCCTTTCCATATCTGGTATTATGCTATTGGAGGATTAGCAGGAATCTGGATTTTCCTTTCAAGTCTTTTTGGTCATAGGCTGTTTCCCTAGGTATTCAGGACTGACTTTTGAATAGCTAAAGTAAAGAATATTGTAAGTCTTCAAAATTCAGTAGATTTATATATTTTCATGAGCAGAAATAAACTTGTTTCTGTTATCCCATTCAATTAGTTAATTCCATTTGAAGGGTCTTTTTGATGTCTAAGAGGTGATTAAGTGCATCTCTTCCGGAACAGGAATCTGTATTTGAAGAATCCTTGTAAGACCACATCTCTGTAAATTGGTTCAGGCTCTCTGAATTTTCAGAATTTAATCTATTAGAAGTTTTAGAATTTGCCATTTAACTAGAACACTGCCTGTTCATTAGCTGTTTTTATTATGTTGTAACTAGCAAAGTGCTTTATAAAGTTAAGAAAGAACAGACTGCCCTGAGTCTATTCTAATCCATGATCTAACTCCTATATAATGCAAATAGGAGACCATTTGTGCAAGAGTGGATGGAGACAGAGAGGGGGGTAAAATAAAACTGAGAAAACACAGTGGAAGATGTGTTTTCAAGAGAAATGGAAGACAGGCTTTGTGATACAAATTGAAGAGAAAGCTTTTCTTTAATTGGATAGGCCTGGGAAGGAACTTGGAAAACTAAGGGTTAAAGGAAAAGGGAATGAAATACTGAGGAAAATTTGGAAAAGTGAAAAAAACCCCACCCAACCTAAAAAACCAAACTGCAGCTAACTCGTAAGTGATTTAGAGTACTCCTATTTTATTGGAATGTTTTTAAAAATTTATTTATTTTACTACCCCTAAGAACTCTTTTTTTTTTTTTTTTTAACTGATTAAAATATGTTTTTTAATATGCCACTGTCCTTGCAGAGCTTATAGGATTGGCCAATACAAAGATGTTAAAGTGTTTAGATTGATATCCTTGGGAACTGTGGAGGAGATGATGTACTTGCGACAAGTGTATAAACAGGTAAAGTTCACAGCCTATTTAAATTGGGAGCTCTTTTTAGCTTTTTCAATGACTGAAAGCTAAGCTAGCCTAAAGCAAAATTGTGTTTACCTTGGTTTTATGATACATGCTGTTACCTTAACTTATTAAGCAGAAATATATGATTTAGCAATTGCCAAAGAACAAACGGGATGATACTTGTATTCAAGTTTTTCTGTAACTTTTAACAGTTTTAACAGTTCAGTTATGCAATATACATTAATCGGGTTGTACAGAGAAGAGAACTGTTTTATTTAAAAACTTGCAAAATACATCTGTGAAAGTTGTAGGTAGTATCTACAGCAGTCTGATTTAGGCAGCTTTTTCTTTTGAAAGGTTGGGGAAAGAAAGCAAAAATCTTTGGTGCTGTAGAAGAGCAAGAACACATTGCTACCCTCCTGCCATTGAAAACTTGCTTATAAAGGGAGGGGGAAACAGGTTATAGTTGCTGTTGTTATGAAGATAAAAAGTGATGTTGTCTGACCAAATACTCAACCTGAAATAAGTACTCTCTAAATTTTGCTACTTGCATTGACAGGTTTAAAAACCTACAAGTGAGAAAACCAAAGTGTGGAGTTTGAAAAACGGACAATCTAGCAACTGTTTCCTGATGAAATCCGAATGTAACCCCCCCCTCCTCCCCCCCAAAAAAAAAAAGATCAGGATGCAGACTAATAACGTGTTTTTCTCAACAAAATTTACAAGTTTTCCAAGTGCCATGTCCTGGGCTTGGGTCACAACAACCCCATGTAACACTACAGGCTTGGGAAGGAGTGGCTGGAGAGCTGCTTGGTGGAAAAGGACCTGGGGGTGTTGGTCAACAGCCAGCTGAATATGAGCCAGCAGTGTGCTCAGGTGGCCAAGAAGGTCACCAGCATCCTGGCCTGTACCAGAAACAGTGTGGCCAGGAGGACCTGGGAAGTCATCCTTCCCCTGTACTCAGCTTTGGTGAGGCCACACGTTGAATACTGTGTCCAGTTTTGGGCCCCTCATTACAAGAAGGACGTTGAGGCACTGGGGCGTGTCCAGAGCTACAGACTGGGTCTCAGGAAAAATTCCTTCACTGAAAGGGTTCTTGGGCACTGGAATGGGCTGCCTAGGGAGGTGGTTGAGTCACCATCCCTAGAGGCGCTTAAAAGGCGGGTAGATGGGGTGCTCAGAGATATGGTTTAGTAGTAGATAGGTATGGTTGGATGTGATGATCTCAAAGGTCTTTTCCAACCACGCAATTCTGTGATTCTTTAAGTTAAGAAAGAAGGCAGCTGACTTTAAGATACTGACACAATAGGCTTGTAAAATTAGAGAAAGGAAGAAAGTGAGTGAGATACAGTTGTCCTGAAGAATGCTTTTCATATAAAAGGCAAAAGAGGTCACCTTAGTGGGAAAATGATACTATGTATTAAGGGAAGCTTTATGACATTTTATGAATTAACCTAATAATTTCAATTTTAGGTCATAAATAGGAAAAAATTGGTACTATGAATCTTCAATGACAAGCACTCTCTTGTTGATGAGTAATTTACAAGGAAAAGGTTGGAAGCTTTATGAGTGGGAAATGCAGTAACAGATAGATTATCCTTATCCTTATACAGATTTAAGTAAGTGTCAAATAAGAATAAGGTTCTAAGATCAAGTATTTGTACATGGTATCTGATTTCACAGACCAAATGGTCAGAAAGCCCATAGCTGGAAGATCAGATCTTGAGCTGCTCTCAGTAATGTGTATGGCCTGCTTTAAAATGTTACTTTCAAAAGTGTAACAGTGACTTTATCTCACTTAAATTCAATGTTTTCTAGAAGCACCACCCCACCCCCCCCAAAAAAAAAAAAAAAAGAGTTCTGTTTCATTTTGACAAAATTATCTAAATAAATAAAGAGGAAACTTGTTAAGAAGAAATTAAAAGTAGCAGGTGATGGGCTGGTCACAGGTAATTGGGCAGTTTTCAGAGACTCTGTATCAGAAGCTTGGAATGAAGAAGACATTGTATTAAAAGTTGAAATCATATACTAGTGAGGTGAGTTAAATATAAAGCACAGTGAGTCCAAAAACTACTTTTGAGGTACAGCGGTGTACTAATAATTTAGTTTTGGAACATGTCAGGAGCAGGAATTGTATTTCTCTATGGGCATTACTTTAGTAAGGTTTAAAGAAGTGTTCATTGCAAAAACCCACTTGATTTATTCTTTATATCCGCATTCATGGAAAAGTTTAGAGCGCATCCTGTTCCAAAGTTTCTCTTGTGCGAAGGACTTCGAGGATTCATTTCAACAGCAAATATCAGTAGGAGAGGTCTCCGAAAGGCTAACAAAATTATCGATAGCAGATTATGACTAACTGTATTCACTAAAATCTTGAAGGAGTGAGTCATGCTTCACAGAGGTTTTTGAAGTTGGTGATCTTGTAGATGAAGATCACCTGGTTGATATTATCTGTTTGGACTTCCAAAAGGCATATGTAAAACATCTTCAAAAGGCTCTTTTTTTAAACTTGACTTGTGTTTTTCAAGTTGAATAAGAAGCAATAAACAGAGTAATTGTGAATCTGGGAATTTCTCTTTTAGTCTGTGCTTGAATTGCATTTCCTGCTATTGACAGTTGGGCACAGTTAGTAAATTTTCAGTAAATTGTGAAGAAAATACCTTTATCTGTTTTTGAAAATTCAGAAACCATGAATACATGTGGACATGTGGCTTTTGGTGAACTATACAAATGTGCTCTCAGAGAGCTAAATGTTGTCATCCAACCTTTTCATTAAATTAATTCCTGTGAAAATACTTTATCGTGTTTATAGTGTATTCTTACTGAGGGATCTATTTGATTTTAAAATAGCTTATTTTTTTTTTATTGGTGATGTTTGGTTGTCTGACCTAGCCATATGTGATTGAAGAATCTGATATAAATAAAATTGAAATGTAACATAATAGAAACCTGAATAAGTTACATATGTATACTTTTGTAAATACCATACATAATTCAAGAAAAAGTAAACTGCTTAGATAAAAGTTAAACTAGAATTTAGCTGTATAGTTACTGGGCTACATAATTCAACAGATATGCTGTCAAGGAATATGCCTGTTCAGTGCTGTAACTAGAGGTCAGTAGAACTGAAGAACTACTAACTGCTTAGAGATAGTTACAGAAATTATTTACAGGTCTGGTATCCATAAAACCAGGGTTTTGACATTCTTCCACTTAAATATACCAGTTATGTAAGTATTGAACATTTGCAGTCATTGGAATGCATCTAAATCTACCTGGCTTCAAATATGTTTTAATTCTGCCTGAGAAACTATTTACTTGTCTTTCCATTTCACCTGGAAGATTAAGTCACTTCTGTTCAATCTACTTAGCAAGAGTGCATGATAATTAAAGTATTCAGAGATGAGTAGGAGTAATCTTGTGGCTTTTATTTAGTCCTTACCAAGTAAGCATGCAATGCAAAGGACTATGAAAAAATAGTAATAATTTAGTATTGAGGAAAGATGAGCAGTCAAGATATAGAGGAGTATCAGTAGTGTGTATAGTGGGCGTCTGATATTAGACAACAATGAAGTAGAAGACTTGAAATGTTTTTATTTTTTTTACTCAGTAAAACCAAGCAGGTTTATATCATACCACAATCTATTATACCAACATCTGCCAGGGAAATTAAAACAAAATATTCTTCCTTAGGAATTTCTGCCTGCTCCAGCTAAAGCTGTGTGTATAATGTGGATGCCAGGAAATTCTGACATGTTGTTGGAGAAAACACTTCTGAGATCTCTTGTGTTGTTCTGTTTTAGCAACTTCACTGTGCAGTAGTTGGAAGTGAAAATGCCAAGCGGTATTTTGAGGCAGTGCAAGGATCAAAGGAACATCAAGGAGAGCTTTTTGGGATCCATAACCTTTTCAAACTTAGGACTCATGGGTCCTGTCTTACCAAAGACATCCTGGAGGTATGAAGTCCTACCGTTTTACTTCTGGATATTAGTTTTACAGTTTTCCTTTTCTCACAAGATGTTTTCATTCAAAATTATGACAAAATACTTTATAAAGCAGACAATCTTAAACAGTACCTGTCTATGCAGTGCCTTAAATGAAATAGGCATGCTAATTTCTTGCTCTGATGTAGACCACATAAATGTCCTTAAATCAGACAAAAAACTGAAAAAAAGAAGTTTGGAAATATATAAGTTTTCCTAATAAAAATGCTGTAACTTATTTTTGTGATACTTTCACATATTGTCAACTTTATACACAGATACCATTTATTCATCAATAGCTCAGAGTGACTTTTTAAGCCAAAATTCTGATTGTAAAAATATACTGATCATAGTAACCTGTGTATAGTATGTTTTGAGATATCAAAAACTATTTAATAAATGTATTTTATCATGCTCGATTTAAAAAGTTACAAGTAAATAACTGAGACTTCATATTTTAAAATTTATTTCTTACTGTAAGAAGACTGTTGGCACAATTCCATAGCATATAGTGCACACTGATTTTAAATATATGCAATATTAGACCTTCTTCTATCCAGCGTGTTTGGTGCAGCTAACTTGCATCTTGGAATTACAGCTTTAGTCTAGGTTTCTTTCTGTCCTTCCCTTTATTTTGTTATTTTGCTTATACTTAGGTGGGTTGTAATATAGCAGTATAAAGGCAGCATAGCCAAAAGAGTAATGTGGTGTAAGAACATGTACTTTGGACATATTAAGCTTAAAAGTTCTCTAAATCTGAATTACAACACGGCATGTAGTGTGAACATTGTATCAGGTATTCTGCTTTGGAAAAATGTTAAAATATTTTAAAAGCGTATGCCTAAGATCCTCCCAATTTATGCAGTATTTTAATTTTCCTGCAGGTTATGTGTTAGATTAAAGAGCAGTAAATGCCAAAATGCAAGTGTTAGTCTGAACTTTGTACTTCTGATGCTTATATCTCTGTAGGAAAAAAAGAAAAACTATTTATTTCCTGGACTTAACCTTTGTGTAGAAAAAAACCTGTATCTGTTCACCTTAACATTCTCGATTTGTTTTAGAGGGAAGGGCGAGTAGAAGCAGGAGTCATGACAACAACTACATGGCTAAAGGAAGAGACTCCTCCATGCAGCTCAGAAAAGGTGAGGTGTCTTTGTGGACTACGGACCAGAGCATGACAGTCCCTTTAGTTTCTGGTACTACAGTGGCAAATGTGGAGAGCATATTGTTAGACTGGTAATGCTTTTACCCTAGATTGCACTTGCCATCTTCTATTGTTTGCTTACCCTTGGTTTTACATACTGTAAAGCATTATATAATGTCATGCTGTCCGTATTTAAAGTGGAATTTTCTGAACACCTGGTAATAGGGTTTTCTGTGACCTTTACAACACTTGGATATCCTCAGTCTGAATGAAGCCCTTACAACACAGGGCAATATTGTTTACTGAAGCATTGCTCTGTAGTGTCTTAAGAGCGACAACAATATAATATAATATGATATGATATGACAGCCTTCTGATCAAGAAATCAGTTGAGATTCTAACACCTACTGTGGTTTAGATTATTTTGGTTCAGGAATTGTGGGAAGGAGTAGCTTTTTTAAACTGTTAGCCCCGTATACGAAGAAGTTGACCACTGCTGTGAGTTTATATTTTTTTATGAATGTCAATACACACTATTAAAGTTTGAATCATGAAGTCACTTTTCAGACTACCTTTGAAAGATGAAAAGTTGCAACAAGATGAGTATAAACTAGAAAAATACAGGTGTGGATTGTGAAGACATAGGTCGGTTTTTTTAGCAGTATGCAGCATATATAGTCTGAAATACATATTTTTGTTTATTTTCATTGTTGTTCTGCTAAAAATTTTATTCTGCCAAAGACTTTCATATAATTTATCTTTATGATTTGTTTTGTATTTACTTTCTATTTGTGAATTGTAATACTATTTTACATATCTTTTGATTGAGTAACATAGAGAAAATCCACCTTTTTTTTTTTTTTTTTTACACTGTTTTGGAATTACTTGTGTTCCATATATTATTTATGTTTTAAATACATTTGCTGTAAATTGTTTTGTTTTGGTTTTTTAGTTTGAACAACCAGACTGTAAAGAAGATGGAGATACGGAAAGCATTCAAGCACAGTTAAAGAGGGAAGAAATGTTTTTTTGTGATGACTTTAGTGATGATGATATTCTGGAAACTTCTGTGAAAAAATGCGGCAGAAGGAAGTCTAGCAGTGAAAGTAATTTAATAGTAACAAAGGGACAGCTCTCCTTAATGCAGTGTGGATTCTCTAAGTTGTTGCAGAGAGAAATTACAACTACCAAAGAGGAGTGTAGTAATTATAAATCTCATCATTCAAATTCTGATTATGAGACTGTAAGAAAAAATGTAAATAGCAAGCATACTGATTTTCAGAAATGTCAAACCCATGTGCATGTTGTGGAGCATGGGAAAGCCACTCCATCACCAGTTGGAACTGATAAAGATGTGCATAGTACAGACCGGCTTGTTTTGTCAGGCTCTGAGAAGGAAGGGGACAGCGAAAGTGAAGATCAATGGATTTCAAAGGAAAGTGATGTGGTCATTGAAACTGAGTGCAGTTCTGAAGAGAATGATGATGTCATCTTTCCTACCCAAGTTCCAGCATACCAGCAATCGGTGCTTACTAAAAAAGTTGAAATTTACAGGTCAGCGTCTGAAAATTGTGAGGAGTTAGCAAAAGAAAAAGATGGATTGGTATTAAAGGGAGACAGCAGGCGATTTGGATTCCATACTACTGAGTCAAATTTTAGCAAAGTCTTATCTTTTAAAGACACCAAGAACGGCACAAGAGATTTGAAAGGGGCAAGTGACATAAGTGATGAGTCTGATGATATTGAAATTTCCTGTAATTCTGAATCAAGAAAGTTAAGAACTTTAAACTTTCCAAAATGGAAGGAAAGGCGCACCCATAACAATGCACCAGGTAGCTTCTCCAAATCTCTGCTACAACCAAAAAAGCCCAATGGAAGAGAAAAGGAAAGTGATTCTCAGAATATAGATGAATTTTCATCCTCTGAAGATAACTTACCAGTTGAGAAAATTCACACCAGAAAGAAAAGCTGTAAGTTTAAAAGACAGAGAGGCAGAGTTCAGTTCGAGTCTAAAATGCTTGATCCTATTCAAGATACCTCTCTTGCACAAGTGAAGTCTGGCAATTATACCGTGCGTAGAACTTCTGAAAGTAAAACTGAATTTCAACATCAGGAGCAACAAGTGGAATCAATGGACAGATATTTAGGTAACTAGTAATTTAAATTTTATTTCAACTAAAGTAATAACATGTTTAACTTACCATTGTTGTCAAGTTTTAAGTTCTTTCTGCTGTACATGTTTTTGTTACAAAATGCTAATAAATACCCTGTTAAATTATTTAGTGATGTTTTTCTGTATCTCTCTTTTTACCTATTAGCTTTATTTGCCTGCCTACTGAGATGATGGGTTACTTTGTAATATTTTATTAAACACCTGCTGTCTGCTGAAAGATGCTAAGATTTAAAATTTATTAAGAATTCACAAATTATTTAACTGTAGAACCTTAAGTCTTGACTGTTAGGGCTGTTAAGTTTTCTTTGTGTATGTCAGTTTTTATCTAAGTGATTTGTCAGTCTGAAATGCCATGTAGGAGATTTGATTCTGTTAGAGACCACTAAACCACTAAATCATAGATGCTTTGAAACTTCTCCTTTGTCCATCTGAAAAAAAAAACCACACTGAAATGGAAGCAGTACTAAACTGTCTGGATAAATCTGAATAAGTCTAATGATTGTTGTTCATTTTGCAGAGCTAAGAAACTTGGTGCTGAGTGAAATTATAACAAATCTTACAACTTTCATGTAAAGCTTTAAAATTACAATATCCTTCTTCAATATAACTATGTACCATCAGGGTTTTGGAATAAAACTTTCATTATATTTTTCTCCTAAAATGTCAGATGGTGTTCAAGAAGTCGCATATATTCATTCAAATCAGAATGTGGTTGGATCCAGCAAGGCTGAGAATCGCTTGAGCCGATGGGCAGTGCGAGACGTATTTGAGTTGAAGCAGTTTTCCCAGCTCCCTGCTAATGTAGCAGTCTGTAGTGCCAAGGTAAAGAGAAATGTTTGGGAAATGTTGTTTTTACTGGTTTTATCCTTATTTTTCATCTTTAGAAGCTCTAACAAACTTCTTTTTCTGTTAATTGACACCATGAATGATCAAAGCCACTGAGAATGGAAGGACGAGGAGGAGGCTCAAGTGGAGGTCTAATAAATTACTTTTCTGTTTTGTTTTTTGGTGGTTTGTTGTTGGTTTGTTTGGGTTTTTTAACATTGGCCAGCTCTTAAAGAGTTGGGAATTAAGCAGCAGAGCACTCTGTGGAATTTTTCTGAGAGAAATTGTAAGATTAAAGATTCGCTGTTTTAAATCAAATTCTATGCCATTATTCTGATTTGAGGCTTGAAAAAACTTCAGTTTGTCCTGATTCCATGTTGGAATCTCTGTGGCATAGAAGGTCAAACATAAAAATCAGATTGCGGACTTTTTTTTTTTTTTTGAGTGGACACATGCAGTTGCTATAATGGGTTGAAGTAATGGTAATTATTGTCCATGCTATATCTGAAACATAAAACTAGCATTTACTAGGAGTGCTTGTTTGCAGCAACAGATAGATTTTATGCTTTTTGTTTGTTATGCATCTTGTTTAATTGCATTTGGAATACATATAAATGTGGAATAAATTCAGGTACAGCTTCCAGGTTTCTGTTCTTATTACATACTGGTTTTAATCTGCTCTGATTATCTGTACATGTTGTTGTTTGCCTTGTAATAAACATTTGTCGTTTCCTAGATTGATTCTTAAGATAACCATGAGCACAGAATCAGTAGCCGGTGAATGTGCAGTTTAGTTTTTACAAACGTATTAGCAATGGCTGTAGAAATTGTAGACAGAAGAATATGTCATTCTGGGTTTTGAACATCCACAGTGACTAAAAGAGTTTCTTCCAGTGTTGTTGAGGTACTGTATTTAATTAAGCCATTAGCAGGAAGGAATGCCAAAGAATTTTTGTGCTGGGAAGCTCAAACCAGGCCAACCAGTAGAAGTGAGGCCTTTTCAATTCTAACGCATTTGCATTAGAATGTCCCGTATTAACAGAAAAGTTGGTCAAAAATAATCAAGGTTACAGTAGACAGGTCTTTATTTAATGGCAATGGCTGATATTAATAAAACTAAATATAAATGAAAGTAGAAAGAAATAAATCTCGATCCACCTATGTTCAAAACTAGTCTGTGGGAGTAATTTGTATTGTTCATGTAACTTGCATCTCATTATTTAGAGTTTGCATGACTGCAACTGTTGCAAATTAACCTCTCTTGATTAATTTGTCAGTTAGCTTTCCAAAGTGTCTATTTTTCACTCAGAAGCAACAATAGTATCAATTATCTTGGAGACTTAAGTAGGAAGAATAACTTCAATAATTATGGAGAAGGCTGCCTCTTCTTTGCTTCCTGTTCTTTCTTTGACAGAGGCACTAATCTAGAAATGATCCCTAGATGGCTGCCTGTTCTGAAATGTGGAGCTTTAGGTTTTTAGTGCTTAGCTTAAAAGAGCTGTCAGAACTTCACAGGCAACTTTGAAATATGATCTACTGAGAATGTTACTGCTCCTATTTTCCTTTTTGCATTATTTTTATTTTAAAAGGCATTCTGTGCAAAACATGATCATTGTTGCTCTTCTGGCTGTCAGTCTTTGGTAATTTTTCGCTTATTCGTCATCAGTTTAAGCTAAGACATGCACTGTCAGAGCAACTGATTGTGTTACAAAGAGAATGCTGATTTCAAGTTTAATAGAAAAGTTTTTCAACAGATTAAAGTAGCATTATGTGTAATATAAAAACTACAGCTGAACAGTTTAAATTTCCATCTTTTTTTTTTTTGTTTTTTTTTGGTAAATAAAATTATAATATTAAATACTGGAATGTTAATTGTAACCTGGTAGTTATTGAAAGAAAACCAAAACTTTTGTCAGCTGAAATTTCTCACTGAAGTTGCTTTCTAGAATAACTTTTCTAACTGTTTCTCAGAAATTGTGTATCTGTTTCTTTTTGCTTCTGGGTATCAATGATCACATACATTCTTAATTAATTAAAAGCTTTTTTTTACAGTGTATTTATATTGAAACTTTATTTGATCACATAATGAAGGATCCTGAATAATGCCCTGATAATATTTTGTCCTTTTTAAAGCACATTTAATCATTTTGTCTTATTTCTAAGTAGGAGTGATTAAAAAAGGATCTCTTCCTTTCATTTTATAGATAGGTCTCTTTAGGACAAAAGTGAAATGTCCTTTGTGCTGTTCAGTTTGCCTGTGCCAACTCTGTCTTCCTGCTTTGCGATTTTGCTCTGCAATCTGTCTATCATAATGCATTTTTAACTTAATAAAGTTTAAATACATTTTTTAATAAATTACTAATATCTCTAGGAAAGGGATGCAAGAATACGTAGAAACTAACAAAGTATTCCATTGCAGTGGATGAGTTGTAAGTTGGGAAATAAGCTTTTCCTGCAGATCTTGATTGAAGACTGAGTGCGACGGGTTTGTTTCCTGCTTACTTAAGAATCTAGAATGGTGGGCGTAATAATATTATAATAAATAATAAGCAAAAAGTAATAAATAATAAGCAAAAGTAATCAATTAAGCTAACCTCTTGTAAGAACATTGACATTTTATTGATTCCTTTCTGTTGACTAGTCATCTAATCACATTTTGGCTTCACTAAATTCCCATGAACTTTTACATCGTAGGTTTAAGTTCTTTAGTTTCAGTAGCTAATCTATGGGAATTAGGTGAATATGAGTAAGAGCAAAAATAAGTTACTGGGAAGCAATATAAAAGAAGTCTTCTTCCTGGTTTTCTACCTGCATTTGATAAAAGGAGTATAAATTAGGTTTATTAAGCCTTCCTTTATTGCTGAAGCGTAGAGACTAATGTAGTCACTTGAGTTGTAGAAACTGCTTAAAACTGGAGCAGACTGCAAAACCTGTGAGGACTCTCCCTTCAGAGTGAGAGAGGTTGCATGGGAAGAAGATCCTTGAGAGCCAAGGTAGAAGGGATGGGAGTCAGGGAGTTTTGTTCCTCAAAAGAGAACTTTCAAGGTATGTAGAACATCTTATTTAAGAATGTAAGTAACTAATTAAAAAGTAAACTTAGAGTTAAGTTGGTTATAAGAAGTGTAAGATTCTAACTTTGGGATAAGAAAATATGTTCTTTTTGCTGATAGTCTCTTTCCTTACTTTGACTTCAGAAGGTCAGGTTAGATTGTGTTAGATCTGGACTGTTGGCACTTGATGATTCATGGTCAAATCTCAGTTAATGTTTTAGACTCTGGGTTTCAATCAAGCGTCTTTTTTTTTTTTTAATCCAGTAATAAGTAGTCAGTCTGTCCTTAATGTTACCTATGCTAGTATTCATATACCCCAGCTACCTTTTCTCTGCAGTAGTAGAACATATGATTTCAGTCTGCTGTTGTTCTATACCATTAAATGCTTAAGGGAACAAAATCTTGGTCCTTTTTATGAGAAATAGGTCTTCCTAGGGTTTCTTCTGTTCTTGCTTGCTTTGTGCTTCAGGTTCCATAACAGTCGTGGTACATGGCTTCAAGACTGCTGAAGAGCCTTTGATTCTTCTTTCTCCTGAGGTGGTAGGGAGTGCAGTCATACTCTCTATTTTTGTTTGCTTTAAAAAGAATTGTGTGCATTGACTAGTTTAGCTGGAATGTTCGTATTAATAATACTGCATGCTTGTTTAGTGTGTGTTTCCATAAATTTTATATGGCTATTGAAAATACGGTTAGGTAACAGCAATCAGAATATGAAGTTTGCCTTCAAGAAATAAAAATAGAACATCTTGAGAGCTGTCTCTCATCTTACCAGGTATAAAAGGTGAGATAAAATCTAAAAGCAGTAAAAGTAACAGTATAAAGTATGCATTACTTACACAAGCAACAAAATTAACTGTATTTTGATTGAATATCATTAGTCAAAATAAATCCTGTCCAGCATCTGAATTAAAGGTACTGTTTGAAGGTAGTTTGTACATGACAATAGTAGAAGCAAATGTGAAAGGTTTTATTGCATGTTCCTGAAGAAACTGAAATAAATTGTGGTTTGGGGAGTATATTCCCTTCATCACAGAAGTCCATGGGATTGCGCAACAGTGGGGAAAAAATCTGTAGTTGGAGTAGCATTTTCAATGAAGAGAGATACTGTTGTCTTGTTATAGTAGGGGCTTTCATAAATAGTCATCTACAGCAATGGGTATCTGCTTATACTTTATTTTGCAGCTATAATTAGTGAGGAACTTAAAAGACTAACAGTTGTTTTTTTAGATAGACATAGTATTTATATACTTAGTATTCTACATTTAAAGGAAAATATTTTAACTTGCTACCAACAGTTCCTGAATATACATATTATCCTATGTCTGAAGACTGTCTATATTATGACCATTGACCACAACTTGGTGTCAGATCAATGTATTTTTGAGAAGAAACGACAGGAGAACAGTATGATAATCATCCCTCAATCAGTTGATGTTTCTGGTAGTGTTTCTTATGTGGAAGGCACTGAAGTGTCAATAATTAGAGTTCTTTAGAGAGCCTCAGTAATCAAAACAAAGCCAGGGATTTTTATTCTGTGTGGAGGTGTGGCACAGGTGCAGAACTGTTCCTGAATAAATTTTGGAGATAAAGATTATACATCTTAATTTCTTCTATAGTTCTAAACATTTATGGTACAACTCAAAACCTAAGTGTCTCGGAAAGCAGTCAAGTTTCTCTTTTTGCTCTGGCTATTTGTCATCTTTCATAACAAGTCATAAGTGTCAAGGCAGAAATTATGGTCAGTTCTGTGATACCACAATGCAGGGACATGCCAGGCTTCGGTATTCTGAACATCTGAGGGTAGAAAATGCACGTCATTCAGTGTGGCAGATATCCACTCAATTAAAAATTACTGAGAGCTGGTCTTTGTTGCTTCCTTATGCATATGACTACAAAATACACTTGATCTGCTATTTCATAGAAGATTATTAGTAACAAGGGTTTTCT